ATATATATATGATATATAAGGGTATCCCCCAAAAGTTGGTACTGCTCACTAGAGGATGACACGGGAGTGGATTTTCACTACTATCCTGTCCTGGTCCAACAGAAAATATCCTGTCCTGTCCCAATCCTGGTCCAGAGTAAAAAAAATAATAATCCTGTCCTTTCCCACTCCTGGTAACATGACTCCCACTCCTGTCCTGCTCGTGTTTTTCATTTAATTTTTAGGAAATTAATTGAATTTGTTTTGATCTTCTACCCGTTCCTGTTTAAATTACTTTGTTTTGTGCAGTTTTATTTTAAAAGATATGTCAACAGGAACAGTTCATCTGTGGTGAAATAGAGACATTTATTTCCTTAATCCAAACAAAAACCTTCACTAAATATCATAAAACAAATAATCCATGGCCTGTAGTCCATATAATGTTTCTACGGAGGATCAGCTGCTGAGTCTGTTTCTGGCTCTTTTGAAGGTCAGTTCCAGTAAAAACAAAAAATCTAAACCAGTCCATGGGTCACACCATGTCTACCTTAGATGAAAGAACCCAAACACAACAAGTTGCATTTTACTAATTTATTGAGCAGTTGTTTCCTTTAAACAGTGACATCACTGTCATGTTTTAAATTGTTTAAACAAACTAACAAAAAAAATAAAAATAATGTACCAAGCAGAGAACTCAACAAATAAAAATGTTTAAAGGCGTTATTATACACTGGACGACATCCTCCAGAAGTTCAGTGTATGTGGTCGAGGTAACGAGCTCGTTTGGGTGAAGCATGATGTCGTGCATCTTCCCAGACTTCAGAGCATCATTTACAGACTGGACCATTGCAGGTCTGGTGTTCCACCTCATCTCTCCACAGCTGGACCAGTCCAGAGCCTTGTGGAACCTAAAAGTGACAGAAGACGTGCACGAGTCAAAATAGTGTCACAGTGACTACAAGTTACAATCTGTTGGTCTTTCTTCTGGAAAAAATATTTTATCAAAAACAAGATACTTACAATTGAAATTAAGTCAAGAAAATGTGACATTTGCAAATATAAATTACAGAAGCTCAATGTTTATTTATTTCACTTATCATATTTTATAATTATTTAATGAGCCTCACCAGGCAGAGATTACAAGATGTTCTGTATCTTACCTGCTCTGTTGAAGTGTGGGACAAGGGTCTTTGTGTCCAAAGCTGTTTAACAGCTTGCTTCCAGAGCTAACAGCTTCCTGTGTTAGGTAGAAAAATTACATTAAATATATCAGTTAAATGACTGAATCAAGTATTCACTTATGTAGGTAAACAAATGTTTTAAAACCTGATAAAATACATTAGAATGCAGGAAATAGCAGCTACTTTATTCAAAAAGTTATGGGGGAGGACCCACAGACCTCGCACCAATATGTCCCCCCCCACAATAATTCTAATGCTAATACCCACTGGGTGGTTCAAGCCAAGAGCCATTGTCAACACTGGGGGGCTAAGGCCCCTAAAAAGGGCTTCTAGAATCGCCCCTGGTGTGAAGAAATGAACTGAGAAAAATCAAGTTGTATCCTAAAATTTAACACAACATAATAAACATTTATTATAACATCAAACAATTATTATAATATATATGGAACCAGTCTTTCATATAAAAACTGGGACATTTTTACCGGAGAATGCTTTCACTAATGAGTTTGTTGTTGTACTGGCATGGTTTATGGCCGACAGTAACTATTTCCGCAATAAAGCGACTGTTATTCACATCTTTCTTGATTTCAGTAGACCAGCAAGATGTCATAATATAAAAATAGGGATATTTTACCGGAGAATGCGTGCACTTTAACCAGGTTGTTGTTTTTTTTTACATTACGAACAGCAACAGATAATGACAATTTTAACCTAAAAACCCACATAACAAAGCAGAGCATAATTTTTTAATTAAAAGGGACAAGGTGCAGAAAAATGCGCTGTTTGAGTCTGTTCATTTACTGACGGTAAACAAAGGTCCAACTCCCACCGCAGCTCTGCACTGCAGTAGAGACTAAATATTTTACAAGCAGCACAGCACCAACACAACTCTCATGAAGTTCAGGGTTATTTGACACTTTCCTGCCTGTTCTGTGAGTTTAATAGATCAATAGTTTCTTCTTACCTTAAACTATTTTCAGCCACGTTGCTCCTCCTTCCCTCTCAGTGAAAAGCAGAGGCTGGAACAGTTGATTTCTGGGCAATGTAGTTCTTTTGACTTGTGTTAAAGCGAAGGCTTATTGAAAGAAAACTACAAAATAGCTGCGCCTGTCTTGTTAAAAAAAAAAATTCTCTTTTTTTTTTTTTTTTGCTTATTGGTCGGTTCCTGCTCCTGTTAACTTTCAGTCCGGTCACGTCCCGGTCACATGAGTTATAAAATAAGGGTGGTCCCATCAGAATCCCGCCAGAATCACATGACCCGCGGTACTCCTGAAAAACTGTCATCCTCTACTGCTCACCCTCTTCACTAAAGCATCATCAATGATCAATGGTTGATGCTGACTATGCCCTTTTCGAAAGTCAGTAATGATCTCTTTCGTCTTGATAACATTTAACAAAAGATTCTTTGTCTTAAACCATTTTGTCAACAGATTTACCTCCTCCCTATAGTGTGATTCATCATCCGCAGTGACGAGACCCAACAAGGTTATATCATCTGCAAACTTTACCATATGTTTAGAAGGATGGATTGTATTACAATCAAGTATAAATAGTGTAAAAAGCAGTGGACTGAGTACGCAGCCCTGGGGGGCCCCAGTGTTCAGTATATTCCTGCTCGAGCTTTTATTTCCTACTCGTACTACTTGTGACCTCTTGCTAAGAAAATCCAAAAGCCAGTTGCAAAGAGATGCACGGAACGCCAACTTATCTAATTTTTGAATCAATTGTTGTGGTATTGTAGTATTAAATGCAGCAGTGAAATCAATGAGCAGCATCCTCACATATGAATCTTTTTTTATTCAGGGGAGTAAAAGCAAAATGAAGAGCAAAACAAATAGCATCCTCTGTTGATTGTTTAGCTATACATGCAAGCTGGAAAGGATAGAAGGTAGAAGGAAGACAAGATTTGATGTGTGACTTGACCAGCCGTTCAAAACATTTCATAACAATACATGTCGATGCCACAGGGCGGTAGTCATTAAAACAGGATGGTGCAGATTTCTTGAGCACCGGTATAATAGTAGCCATTTTGAAACATGATGGAACAATAGCTTGTTCCAGAGACATGTTAACCACGTCAGTGAAGACATCTTTTAGCTCCTCTGCGCATTCTTTCAACACACGACCAGGTATATTATCTGGACCTGCCGCCTTATGGATATTAATGCCAAAACTACCAGTACCTGGTTTAAGGACCATGTTCTTAATTGGCCAGCAAACTCGCCTGACCATAACCCCATAGAAAATCTATGGAGTATTGTGAAGAGGAAGATGTGATACACCAGACCCAACAATTCAGAAGAGCTGAAGGCCACTGTCAGAGCAACCTGGGCTCATAACACCTGAGCAGAGACACAAACTGATCCACTCCATGCCACACTGCATTGCTGCAGTAATCCAGGCAAAAGGAGCAACAACTAAGTATTGATGCTATACATGCTCATACTTTTCATGCTCGTACTTTTCACGCTCGTACTTTTCACGCTCGTACTTTTCACGCTCGTACTTTTCACGTTCGTACTTTTCACGTTCGTACTTTTCACGTTCGTACTTTTCACGTTTGTACTTTTCACGCTCATACTTTTCACGTTCGTACTTTTCACGTTCGTACTTTTCACGTTCGTACTTTTCACGTTCGTACTTTTCATGTTCGTACTTTTCATGCTCGTACTTTTCATGCTCGTACTTTTCACGCTCGTACTTTTCACGTTCGTACTTTTCACGTTCGTACTTTTCATGTTCGTACTTTTCATGTTCGTACTTTTCAGTGGACCAACATTTCTAAAAATCCTTTTTGTATTGGTCTTAATATTCTAATTTTCTGAGATAC